TGACATTTTAATGTGCCTTGAAAAATAATATCATCACTATCATAAACCTTCAGAAATATGTACAGGCATCTATATTTCTAAGGTTGAGGTGTTTGGGTGGTCCTGTGCCTGTGGTTCATGTCCAAGATATATCCTTTCATACAAACATGATTTCTTCAATAAATAGTAGATTAGTTGGATGGAAACATAAGCATGGGAGAATTTTATTTCCAGTTCTAATAGGCCACCATAATAATGTAATTATTAGGACTGAGGCCTATGAGGAATTGGACTTAAATCCTAAATGAACCTACGATGAGTGGGACCTATTTGACTAATTACTGTACCTTTCTTTCACCCATTTATTGTTCTTTCTATTGGCCCCTGTCACCATTCATGTTTTGGATATCCAGTACAGTATAAAAGGACGCTGTTAAATGATAAATGTTTCGACTCTCTCTCTCATGGTGTGGCGATGGTCTGGGGTTCAAACTGACCAGGGAAGGAAGATTCAACACATAAGATGCCCCCCTACATAATCAAACAATAAGAATGAGGACTTCTGGGTTCATATTTTTTCTCAGAAGTATTCAAAGCTCAAGCTATGTTTTATAATATTTGCGACTACTGCAAGAATGACTAATCTAGAATACAGTACAGTATTAGTAAGAGCAGTCAACTTTGTACATATCACAGCAAATACTATCCTGCCAACCTTCTTTACAGCTCCAGGTGCAACATTATCACATTACCTTATTGACATTCTATTTCATGTGGCAACATTTAAACCAATTTATGTCTTCTTTATACAACTCAATAGTTATCAGATCAATGTTGACCTTTTTCTTTTCTTAAATCAAGTTTACATATATTATGAACACTGCTTTCTATGTATATCATTGCTGAATTAATATGGAAATTACTCCTACTACAGGTTGAATCCTTGTGGTCCCTCACTTGACTGATGCTGGACCATAAAATCTCATAACCACACACAGAAGGTCACCTAAAGTCTGATGAGAAAATTCCCCAACTCTACTGATACATGAAATAAAGTACAGGTTATAATAAAGTAAAGCAGGTGTAGTTTAGCTATAAATTAAGATGCATTCCTAGTGACAAATTATATTACCATATTCCTGAAAAATTAGCATAAATAAACAAAATAAGCCATTTTTTTCTAAAAACCAGTTTTTGTAATATAACCCAGAATGCGACGCTTAGCTTTTAACCTAGGTATGTTAATGCCTAGCAATAACTCGCCAGGCCAACATACAGGCAATTAAAACATCTAATAATTACTTAATAAGTAATATTAGGACACGTCGCTACCTGGCATTTAATTGTAATTGTCGAAACCCCCCCTCACCCCCCATCGCACGCACTGCCACCGTCATCTCTTGCCTGGCGATTCAGCCGTAAATACACACGAAGGAGAGCTCCGCGAATATTTCTGCTTCTGTGAAGCAACTTCGAGCCCAGATGAGATAGTTGCTTTTTCCTTAACTTTCCCAATGGAACCACTATTGTGGCAAAATTCAACAGGCCCAGAAGTTTTCCCAATCGTGCCAAGAAACCTTGTGCTTTACACAAAAGGCTTCTACTTTGTTTATCAATCTGTTACTTTTGTTCCTGGTAAACTGCCTGACTGCTGATTTGTATCCCACTGGGGACCTAACCAATCCAACTTTTGACATGGTATTAAATTTGATTTGACCTGGTTTATCTTTAAACCAAGGTTTTGAAGTACTAGTGTACGTTGGGTCGCCCTTTGACAATCTTCGAAAGAGTTTCCCACTATCAGCCAATCGTCTAGATAAGCAAAGGTTTTTATGCCCTCCTTTGCAAGGATCTCTCTGGGGATGTTCGCCAGTTTTGTAAAGACTTTTGGCGCAATTGTCAGGCCGAATGGCATCACTGTGAATTGATAACATACATCCCCCACTTTGAACACCAGAAACTTTCTGTACCTGGGGGCAACATAATCGTGATAATAGGCATCTTCGAGATCCACTTTTAGATCCAAGCATTGGGCGGAAGCAGATGCCTCAGATGATCGTAAGTGAGCATCTTGAAACTTTTTTTTTTTTTTTTTTGGTAATAAATTTGATGAGGATTGAAAGATCCAAAATCCATCTTAATTTGTCGCTGCCTTTCTTGGGGACTGGGAATGGGCGAGACATGAAACATTTCTCTGACTGTAACAGTTCTGTGACACCTCTGTTTAATAGTTGAATTACAAATTCTGTAAGTAAGGGGATTGGTTTTTTTACCCTTTTTTGGAAACATTAGGGGAGGGCGCCTCAACCAAGTCCATGTGAGGCCCCCTTTGATTCTCTTGTAAGCCTATATGGAAGAAGTCCATCTGTTTTCCCAACCCCCTAGACGACCCAGCTGTCTGGCATCATTGGGAGGGAGTGGATGCTGATGTGGTGGTGTAATGTCTCCTTCCGCTTCTGAACAAACGGCCACCCCCACTACGTCTGTGATTATTTCCTCCTCTAAAGTTTCCTCTAGGTTGATAACTGAACAGAGCAGCTGGTCCTGTTCCCCTGTAAAACCTTCCTCTTTTAGATTTCCAAAAGGTCTGACGACTCCTGGGAACAGTAATATTAATAGCTTGCTCAACAGCTGATCTATATTTAACCAATGATTGTTCATCAAACAAAGCAGGAGAAAGAGGGGAAGAACAGCAATAAATAAGCACTACCACTTGAAGCATTATTTGTGGCTTGCTTCCTAAGCTGGGCTTTAGTGTTAGGGCTTTCAACAACATATAAAAAATGAGTCGTACAGGGAATATGGGGTCCCTTGTAAAGCAGCAGTGAAACATTTGACCACTTCTGAATTTTCTTCATAGTCCAGCACAAACTTAGTTAATAACTTACACATCATAATTGCAGACCAAACATCTGGTGCCACTTTCCTAATTCTAAATTCTTCAAGCAACAGTGTAAGAGCAACTGGTTTCAAATTTTTTCATAACTTATATCAACATATTTTGGAGCCGACTAATACTGGGAAAGTTCATAGAAGGAACTCTTTTTGTCATTAAATTGGAACTTCAAAAAACTAAACTTGTGAGCATTCCTGTCTGAGGGAATGAATGTTAAGTCTTTCAATAAATTAGCCCAGACTTCGTCTATTTCAGAGATCATCTTTGGGCAAATATCAGGCCAAGAAAGTGTAGTATCACCTTCCAAAAACAAAGAATGATGACCCAAAGTTGCTTGTCCTTCCTGTCTCTTTGTAGTTGATGAGATATCAGGAAGCTTAGAGACATTTTCATAAAATATTTTGAATAAGAAATCCATAGATTCAGATGTAGTAGAAAACAAAGAAGACTTAGACCTTACCAATGTTATCCAAGACCTGTTGGGATCATCCTTACACTCAATGTTATCCAGCAGCTGCGTGGCAGTTGACAGCAGCCTGTTTCCACTCATAGTAACCAACACTTTTGCCCCAGGTGGAAGAGGTTGCCAAAATGTGGATAGGTTGAAGTCAGTCTCAACAGGTTCTCCCTGCTCAAGAGACTGAATGCTATGATTAGAACCAGGCTCATCGTCCTGATCCTGGAATCCACTGAAATCAGACTGAGTAGATAGAGGTTTTTGTAGACTTCCTACTGCCCCATTGTCTGGAAAGTCCAATAACTTATTTTTTTTTATAGCAGAAGCAGGCTTGTCTAAGTGGGGATTAAGTCTCTTACCTAACACCAATAAACCTAAATTTTCTGCCAACTTGGGATCTTTCCATTGTTTTACGTTTAAAAATTTACTCTTCAAGGCCTTATTCCACCTATTTTTAATTTGGATCTGCAATAAATCTTTCTTATCACCTGTAGCTTGATGAAATTGAAAAATTTGATCATAACAAACTGCACAACCCATTGGTGAAAATAGGTTATTTGAGACACAGCTGCCATGAACTATGCAAGCCACATGAGGATCTATCTTAGTAATCCAAGTGGCTCTACAATTTTTATAATTACATGTAGTATGGCCCCCTTGGGTCTTGGGTGAAACTACTACTACTGAATTCAGTTTCTCTACTGACAGACAATTCCTTGTATGTAGTGCCTGAGCTGAACTTTCTAGTCCTTGCAGCTCATCACTCAATAGTATCTCCTCAGAGACAGTTCCATAGTCTCCTCCATCATCCATAGGCCCGGACTCCTGACCTTCATCCTCCAGTTGCACATCACTCATCTGAACTAGGAGGACACCATGAGTCACATTATATCATTATAAAAATATAAGGGAGAAAACATTTTCTCCCAAACTTAATCAATATGACTCAAAATTGTCATATTATTAGTAAGTTAATTCATTAAAATCTCTTATTGTTATATAAGTCACTCATTTGACAATTATAAACAATTAACTCACTATGTCGAATCTCTCTCCCGACTCTTATCTCAAGTATCCCTTACCTCAATTAAATTTTTTTTTTTAACATAAAATAATTTCATTAGAACATTTTATTTAATGGATCATCAAGATCTCTATTTGTTGCCAATCAGGGGCACAGACATTATCCCCCAAGTAATAACTTAAGCGAAAATTCCTACGTGCGCACTATCACCCGGCAGGGTTGACAGTGCTGAGTCGCTAACATAGCGCTCTATTGGCAACAGCGTTCACTATTACTCTAGCAATACTTAGTGGGTTGAGAATTCCACCCAGAATTGTACTCATATAACCCATATAAGGATGTAAAGTCCATTTCAACATAACTCTAGATTGCTAGGAAGACCGGAAGGTCAACATTCCGGAAGGAACGCCAAGTCTAGCAGCCTCGCTAAAGTACGCCTGGAAAGGCTGAACCCGCTACTGAGGACATCAATAAAATAAAGTTATGAAGAGAAAAACTCAACTCTGGCCTTTATGCTGAGAGCAATTAGAAAACCGAGGGCGGAAGCCCAAAGGTTTTTTGTGAACGAACGTAAGAGTAGGAAGAGAGACAGTCATGGCATTCATACTAGCACGTGAATAATTGGGACAAAGAAAACCGTAAACAGTACACATATATATGTATATATAAATAGATATATTCACATACAGTATTCTCTTTCAGTGAAGACGAGCCCGGGAGGGAGCAGCGACATTCACTAAGTGACTTAAAGGCAAGAGATAGTCACAACGATCTAAACGACTTTACAAAGAAGACGTGTTGTGGTCACCATGATGCTGACCAGAGATTGTATAAGAAATTGTCCCAAATACAATAATTGAGAGACATAACAAAATAACAGTCACTCTACTTCATCACTGTGCTAATAAGTACAAATACCGTATATAAAATCCTCACGGAGCTTAGTATTTCAGCAATTACAACACAAATTTGCGGAGCTCTCCTTCGTGTGTATTTACAGCTGAATCGCCAGGCAAGAGATGATGGTGGCAGTGCATGCGATGGGGGGTGAGGGAGGGGGTTTCGACAATTGCAATTAAATGCCAGGTGTCCTAATACAGTATTACTTATTAAGTAATTATTAGATGTTTCAATTGCCTGTATGTTGGGCTGGCGAGTTATTGCTAGGCATTAACATACCTAGGTTAAAAGCTAAGCATCGCATTCTGAGGTTGAACAAAAAGAGAGAATATTAGTGTGTGTATCTAACATAAACCCGGGGTAGCTTATGTAGCCTTACCAACACCTTCACCATCTGCTGGTCTCTCTGAAGCCATATTAACGGGTAAATCAGAACTAAATCAAATTACTGAGAGTCTAGACTGGTGAATGTAAACAAACTCTGCAGGAGTGCGGGGAACTAATAGCCAATCACAAATCGAGCCAGACCACAGAAGTTAACGGGCAACAGGGTGACTTATTGGAAGGGTTCGACCTGCAGTATGAGTAACTTTTCTGAGTTTGATTAGTTGTTAGTGTGAGTTTTCTTGTGCTTATTGGTTCTTCTCTAAAAAATATATCAAATGGTGTAATAAGTATCCACCACAGTATAAAATTACAGAAATAATGTACAGTATATATTAAATAAGTATAACACACACAAAAAGTAGTTTTGTACATTGTAATACATAACAAATTTAAACAAAATCTATACCTTACCTACCTTGGAATAGATTAGTTCACAAAGCAAAATTAGAAGCACTGTAAGACTAGAATTCCTTAGAGATTTAACTACAGTACCATAAATCTGCCATAAAACCTGGACACAGTATATACAACATTATGTCATAGTGTTACAAAATGTATGAAAGATTCCACTCAATTTTTTTCAAATGATACTCCAAACACCAATTATGATATTCAAGAATAACAATAAACTTCCAATCATCGTAACAACCGCGTGAATAATCTTTCTGGTCACTTGATCACACCGCGATGATAACAGCATGTCAATAACTGCCCCAAAAATCCAGTAGCCATCTAGATAAACTACAGGAATCATGTTGAGAACTGCTAGGGCCCCAGAGAACTTTACCATATAATCACAGTAGACTTCAATAGTGTTGGGCCATGTGAGAGAGAGGAAGGAAAACTTTGGGATGTAACTAGTTAGTGTTACTGTGTGGTAAAGGTAAGAAGGAGGCCCCAGGTAGAGTACGTCCTCCTTACGTTCGCCGTTCCTTCCTCGCCTACTGAGCTGCATGAGTCTCGAAGCATTTCTCAGAGACGGTGCCAAGCAATGGGTGTCGGTAGGGCAGGCGACGGAATTAATGCAAGTCTTCATACTGAAAAAATAAATAATATAAGTCAAACTACTGAGCTATATTTATTGTAACAACAAATGTTCAGTAACTGTAAGAATCTGCTCTTGATTCCAGCCACCCTACACTGAGGCAGGATGTGGTTTGTAAGAGTATATAAAAATTAATATTTTAGAATTTTTTGTCTCTCATTACAGCTTCTTATCAATACCATAAACCACACACATGTACAGTCTACGAATGAAGTATCTACCCAACTTCAGGTGATGAATAATGGAATCTGACGGATTAGAGTGAAAGTGTTAGCATGACTACTTCTGGTCAGTAGGTACAAGCTTCGATTTATTCAACAAATGATGGTTAAGAATAGTCGATTTACTATTGTGGTTGTGGAATATGAACAGTCAGACACATACAGTACACTGGATACACTACAAAAAGTTCCATAAGCAATTATGCAAATCAATAACTACCACTGTCCAAGGTTCCAAAGGCCTGCCAACTGTTCATGAGGTACACAGATGCAACAGTCAGGTGGCTCAACTTTTCCGAGATAGGTTTGCCATAACTTGGGATGAGAGTAGTTTCTTAGACTGTACTGTACACAATATCCATAAAAATTTTACAATACAGCATAAAGCATGATGAAGTGTTAATATGCTTAGAAAAAGATTCTAACCCTGTAATGTGTTGACTGACCTCAAAGACACAGCCATCCGTGCTGGCAAACATGAAAATGGTTGCATCGCTGACACACCCTTGTCCAGTTCTCTGTCTTCAAGCAACTCAAAACACAAGTGAGCATCACTGTCTCCACTACAGCACTGCACTGATCCATCCGCACCCTCAAAGGCTGAAATTTATCAACAAGATACAGTACTGCATCATTAAGATAAGCATACAACAACATTAACAAATTTAATTTCTTACTTTTTCTTCATATTATGATGCTGTGGTTCTTTATATGTTAATAATAGGAACTTAAACTAATGAGAGCTTGCTAGGTCCGATAAATCCTTCCCAGCTTACCTCCAACTAACAAATGCTGTTAACTTTAATAATAAATAAAAATAGACTGAATATTTACCCAATAATTTAATACAGCAGTTGTAAGTCTATTCATCAACGTATTATATCAAGATAAAAAAAACGTTGCAGATATTATAAAAACTTGTCTCAATATCACAAACTACTGCAATAGAGATTACCAACTTTCCTTTTCCACTTACCCCCATCCCTCACACACACACTACTACTACTACTTTGATGTCACTCGGGATCGAGTATGACGATCACCCAGCTATGATACAATGATATGAGTGAATAGGGATGTCACCTTCATTGGTGAGTTCTGAGGTGACTAAAGAGGCCGATAAGAGACCGGCAGAGTTGTTCACAGATGTTGCACGTGTGGGGGGCTACATCTAGTGCGGGAGGGGCGGCGGCAGCGTCATTCCGGCGTTGGCGTTTGTCTGACTCGGTTTGCAGTCGGGCTAACTCTAAAGTATTGACACCTTCTCGTGTGGTGCTCCTCCAAGCATTACGGTGTGGAATGATCGTCTCCCAGGTGAGGGGGTTGATTTGGCACTTTTTCAGGTTTGTCTTAAGACAGGGAGGTACTACCACCTGGGAAGATATTGGAAGCATAATGTGTTGTCTAATGGTAGACCCTGCTGCCATATGGCATCACAAAAATTGTGACCAAGACCCAGGTTGCTGATCTGACTTTGTGCCTCATTTACACACAATTGCAGGGTCTCAATCATTTCTCCTAATATTGACAACACAACATAAATATTGTTTCTCACTTTTGATCTTTTTTTTTTGTATATATGGTTCTTTATTATTATTATTATTTTATTTTTTATTATAAATTTTATTTACTATGAATTATTATTATTATTATTATTATTATTATTATTATTATTATTATTATTATTTATTATTATCATTACATTTTCGCCCCCCAGGCTCCGATGTGGGTCAGTGACCTGTGCCCGAGTGGGTTAATCCCCGTAAAAAAAAAAAAAATCGGCAAATTTGATTACTAGGCAAGGCCTCAGCCCCGTATGTGCTGAGTTATAGGGGTTGGGTTGGGCTAGGTTACAGTACATTGAATCAGGAGTCCTTGAAGATATCACGACAGTTATCATAAATTTGCTAGTCCACACTGAAATATTTTCAATTTACAACATGTCACTAATATATATGGCTCATTCTATAACTGTATCTACTCTAATGTACGTACAGTCAACTGAAGTTGCATCGACCCCATCCTGGTTCTCGCACTTGCAATTTTACCATTGTGTTACCAAAGGCCAAATGTTAATTTAGCATTGTCTGAGTCAAGTGAGAATCTTGTTATTTTTCCATCTTGTCTTACCTTTACTTCTAGAATACAACTTGGTTAAGTGACCAAAGAAGAAATCGGAAGCTGCCTCTGCAACAACAGACTAATCTTAATGAAGAAACACAAGTGAACATAACTTAAAAAATAAAAATTATAAAAGAGTGGACAGTACAGGTAGTTTTAAGATCATGAAGACCAAGAACTCTATTAACATAAAATATTTACCTTAATTCTGCAACATAACTTAAACAATTCATTCTAAGTGTTGCACAAATAGGTAAACTGAATCAAGAAGATATTAAGTATTGTACTATATACAGTACATTTAACAAACCCCTTTAAATGTGTTCCTTAAGACAGGGAAGTACTGTACAGTAGTGCCAAGGAGAGTTGGAAGAACTTTGATCCTGCTAGCAGAGCAAAACAAATCAAGCTTCATCTATGGCCAAGATATAATTTCACAAACACAACTACACACTTGTATGAGCTTATTTACAACCAAATTACAGTACTGTATTCTGTAAAATCAACAGATTATCACTCCTAGATATAAGGCCAGATGGAAAGGCATAAGCAGGGATGGATGAAGCTGCACACATGCATGGCTAATACATACAAGGCAGCCCCCAGCATGGTGGAGAACAACAGGACCTTGATTAATGTCTTGTTGGAGAAACCTCACTTGTGTGTTCCCTGTGTGAGTCCTGCTCCTCCACCCTTGTTTACTCTTGTATTATTGTCACCATTGTTTTGTTATTATTATTAATCTTGATATAACTGACAATTCTGACCACTAATGATACACAGGTATACATACAGTATATGTTATCTAGAATACTTACTTTTTATTTAAACAACCAATAATCTGTCCAAGTAAACTTTATTTTTAACTTTAAACATTTTGTGAACTTCATGAAACTGTTTGAATTCTAATAGTCCCTTTTCTAGTGTTATTATAAGCTTCTGTATTTCTTTTGATTTCATTAAGTTGAGCTCCCTTTATGGTATACTGTACAAGTACAGCTATTTAAAAAAAAACTATAATGTATCTGAAGTCTCTCAAGTCACCTCACATAACCCTTTAACTGCTACCATCGTCCGTATGATTCACCCAAATCAAACCATCGCCATCTTAAGACAACTGACATTTGGTGCCATGACTTTAAAGCTGTGCACCAATATTCATATTAAGAATGGAAAGCTGATGATTGGTAGACACTCTAGGATGAGACACAAAGGCTGGTGGAGCCTCACATCAACTTGCTGTCATCATCTCTGAATTATTTACACCTCATCACCCTCTTCCTCCTGTCTTCAGTGGCCCCTCACCTATGACACCACAGCCTGACTCACCACCTATGTAACCTCACCACCCACTTTGCATCACAAAAACACCACCGCTGCACAATCACAACCACTTCTTGCACCACAACAACCAGCACTCAACAGTTACCAATAACTCTCTGCTTCACTTTACAGACTCATGACTCACCACCCATGATGAGTACAGAGTTTTTATGTTTTTTATGGCTGCTAAATTTTATATCTTCAATTATATAAAAAAATAGTTTCATGTGTTATGTTTGTGGTGGTATACGGGGTACAGTACAGTACCATAATACAACAGTTAACTAAACCCTCAACAATACGGTGTTCTACATTTTGAAGATTTTCCCTTTTCAATTCCTAAAATAATTTTCATTATAATCCACCATAAGCATAACTAAAAGCAACTGGCCGCATGTTTGGCCTGAACCATTCAATGATTGGAACAATAGTCAATACAGTGGTCCCTCGGTTAACGAACACAATGCGTTCCAGAAGGTCGTTCGTTAACTGAAAATTTTGTTAACCGAATCCATCGTTTCAATGGGATTTTAAGTAATTGGTTCCAGCTCACAGAAAAATACCCACAAAGTAAAAAAAACATGCAGTAAAGTACACTTACTTTGAGGTGTGTATGTAGAAGGCTCCTGGTTGATGATGATGGGAATTAGAAGTGGAAGTGGAGGAGAAGGGAGAAGAGAAGGAAGTGGGGATGGAGGAGAAATCACCCCATGCTTGATGCCGTCATTTCACCAATAAAATTTTAAGTTCACTAGGTGTAATTCAAGATTATTTTCTTTAAATCAACACTGCACTGCACAATATATTTTCAATATGTTAAGTAAATTTCAGAATGACCAATAATTGTACTGTAAAAATGTAAAAATAGTTTATGTTCAAGAGACCCACAAGCAAGATGTTTCCTCCACTGAACAGAGACACAAACTGACGCCTTGGTGGGTGAGCGAAGTGGCTGATGGGCGCACCAAAAACTAGTTCCCTGTACTGCAATTATGTTGAATAAGTGTTAAAATGACTAATAATTTTAATATAAAACTTGGAAAAATATTGAATAACACAACCTTCTTGATATTTACTCCAATGGAAACGAATATAAGCCCTAGAACCGATTACTGTATTGGCGGACTAATCTTCCAGCTGGTGGGCAAGCCAAAACATGTTGACATGTAAGAATTTCGTTAACCGAGGCGTTCGTTAACCGAGGGACCACTGTAATAAGTTCCTTACTAGCTGCTGCAGCATCACCAGAGACTAGGACAGTGTACTTGAGAGCCACTATAATACACACTGAATTACTGGCCTACTCAAAGATGGTATAGAGCACAGTAACACAGTCCTGGCATTGTGAAACATGTGGCAACTAACACTGCTCCTACCTCCTGGCCACCAGCTAATCATGGACAGATAGATTTCTATCTTAATTTTAAGAAGATAATATTTTTGTTTTTTTAGCAGTAGCATCATAAGATGGCTGCACAGGACACATCAAGAAAATTATTTTTGTTTTCTAGTTAGCAGTAGCATCATAAGATGGCTGCACAGGACACATCAAGAAAATTATAGTGTGTGGTGACAGCGGGTGAGCACATCCAAAATGGCTGCCAGAACATTCTACCCAACTTTCTGTTTTGCTTGTGAGATTTGCACAAGCCTTTCTAATACCCTCATATTTATTTGAAGTTTGGTCCAAATGAATTTATCGAATATTTATGAATTATTAACACACTTAAAAGGGATTACAGTCCAGTACAGTATGCATTACAGAGTCCAAAGAAAAACATCTACAGTATTTAAATATTATTGTATGTCTGTTATTCATCAGCTGCCCTCTTATCCTCCCCCCAACAACTCTCCATCAGAGGCCATCGGAGGTACTGTTCACTCAATGTGACAAAAAAAAAAATACATTGTTGAAGGGTTTCAGATCCTTATGAGGCTATAACAAAAGTCAAGTATATGCCACTTGCTTACTCTATGTTTAGGATTGAATAGGATTGTGATATAACATAGGGAAGGAATTAATGGCAAAAAAAGTGTAAGTAGGAGAAACAATTAAAAAAAATCAAATTAAGAAGGCAAGAAATATATAATTAGAGGGAAAACAAAAAAGAAAATGGAAATTAAAAATCAGTGAGGAAATAATACTTTAAGGGAAGCTGTTGTTGATTTTTTCATTGGAGAACATGATTTAGTACCCAAGACTCAAACACATAGGAAAGTTTGTGTGGGGTTTTACCTGATAATACACCACCAACCTATACTAGTTATTAAAATCAAATGACCAGATAAACTATCACACACACAAACCTCTCAGTGTTCTAGAATCCTGTACTGTATACTGTTTATCATGACCTTACAGGAAAAATAACAAAATTAATCATAATTCTCAACAATGTCTCTTGAAAAGGCCGAACAAACCATAAACAAGGGACTTAGTGTAAATGTGGTCTCAGAAATAATTATCAGAGAAAGAAATGGCAGCGTCTTTATTTTTTCCAGGATAAATAAACAAGATATACTGTATTATAAAAAGCTAACATTTATGCCACCTTTATGTCAACTTAGTCCTTGGCCTTGACATGATAGGGAGCAGCATTATACTGTACTGTACACACCACAGTAAATATACAGTACAGTAACCCAACACTCCCCCCCCCCCCCAGTTACTTGTCCCAACTCATATCTTACTTGGGTTTAAAAGTTAAGTATTTTCTTATTACTATTTTATGGTGTGTATCCCATCAAAGCATTTCTACTTTATCTTCCAACTCAACTAATTTCATCCATAATAAAATAATGAACATAAATTCAATTCAATGGCATTCCAAAGAACCACACCATTAGACTCGAACTTACCGTGATGAATAGTTTCATCATATGTATGTACGACAGATTCTGGGACACAAAAACCCATCTGGTCAGAGGTGACGCTGGACACAAGACACTGTAGCCACTCATGAACACTAACAACTGTCTGTCTGTTGACTGCAGTGATCACATCCCCAACTTCTAGACCTGTGGGGCCTTTTGCAGGGGAGTCCTATAATTAAAATAAATGAGTGTCAACAATTACTTATACATTAAACCATCAAAGAGTAATACACAGCAGTAGTGTAAAGTCCCAGAAGAAAGGGAAGAGCTTGTCTGTGGTAAACAAACAGATGACCAGCGCCTTGCACACTAACGCCATCTGTTGATCCGGCGGCCAAATATATCCTATGTGGCTTATGCGGTTTTTGCCTCGCTTTCCCGTCTTTCTTATATAGTCTTTGGTCTGTATCATTGTGAGAAAAGGTTTGTAAGAGTGTACAAAAAAATATAAATCAAATACAGCAAACAACAACTTTATCATTATTCAAGTATGTAAAGTAATTATGTATAATATGTAACCACTAGTGCAACAAAGCAGTATTTCCTAAAGTAACTTGGGGAAATAATGGCCACAATTGTTCTTTAAAACAACTTAAATGACTGGATGGTAAAGTAAGCATGTTGTGTGCTTTTTGTTCCAACAATTTATTCAGTTAAATTTTCCTAACTCCACCAAGAGGAATATGACACAAATTATTACATCACTAAATGTTTCATACACATCAAAGGCACATAAGAGTCACCTAAGTAAATTAAAAACATAAATATTGACGGCTAGATCCTAAGTTAAATAGAGAAGAAGTATATTGATCGCAAATATTACCATTCTATCACTGTAATAAAAATGTCAGCATAAACACAACAAATTAATATACTGTACAATAATGAGTTTAATTTAACCTGTGATAGTTTCATGACAGTCAGGCCACGACCATGGACGTAGAGTGGCTGGAGGATGAATGGTGTGGACAGGCCTATGCCAAGTGCCAGCAATACCAGAACAATATTGTGCCAAACTCCTGCACATAAGATCTGAAATTAATAATAAATACGATTAAATTTCTCTTGTATAATAATATATCATGAAAAAACTCATAAAATCAGTAGTCTTTTAAATACAGTACAATAATTACTACTGACTGTACTGCTTCATGGCTCACTAGTACAGTACAATAAAATAATTGACTGTACTTGTATATGGAATAATATTTAAGTCATCAACATTGTGTTTTTATTACTAATAAATATCTTCCATCAAAACTATTCAATCAGCAAGCGGAGCTTTATGTTAAAAATGTTAAGAGATGTACAGTACTGTGACAAGCAAAATATTGTTGATGTACATAATGACAATAAAACAAGTACTGTACTGTACATGTAGAGCCAACAGCTCAGCAGGTCTTTGAGATCAGTTTTCTGAAAACAAATTTAAAAAAAATACACAGTGGCCATCATTCCTGAAAGTCTCAATAATTCATCACCCAGATTTTAGGATTCAAATTTTGACATTTTCTCCTATTTCTCTTTACACTTTAATATGGTCACAGAAGAAAAAAAAAAAAACTCCCAAATTGACTCTTTCCACTAACCTCTTTAGGCCAATACTTGAGACACCAAGAGCCTCTGTCTCAGAAACATTCTCAACCAAAGTTCTCATAAATGATTCTTCACTCCTCTCCCTCCTCTTACCACTACCCACAATATTCTCTACAGTTGTTTTAAGTAAAATATTAAATAACAAATTTGAATACATGACAGATAATGCATGAGAGGTACTGTAGTATACATGATGGGGGGATACATACGATGCCCCTCGATAGACAGTTATAGTGACTCAGCACGATGGTCCTCCTCTATCACACTACCAGAGTAGATTAAACGTTATTTCCCTCAAGTACCACTCAAGACAAAATCCAATAATGTATTTGACTTGGAGTTAGCGAGAACTTCAGCAGGTTTACAAAAAAGCTCATCTTTTTCTGGTACAAAATAAGCCGCTGCGTATTCCTTCTTAATACGATAATGTACTCCCTCTAAAAGTATGTGTCTAAAATTGATAGCTAATGCAAAAAGTCTTGTCCTGTCAGCAAATATTTAGGATGAACTGTGATGGCATTGTGACAATTTGAAGAGACAATTTTCTTAATGACCAGGCATCTCGTAATAGATTTCCAGAATCTTGTATTTTGAAATACTGTATAATGAGTAACCAAATCCCTCCTAAGGATAATCTTACACAAAGGCTCATCTGTTCCAAGTTTGACCCTTAACTTGCTTGTAGGTCTCAGATCCTGCCAGAAACCTTACACATTACTCAGGTACATTGGAAGTAAAGCAACTCCATAATCTGCAGTTAAGAGAGAATTCCCGTGGAAGACAACAAAGTCATCAACTGCTTTGTTTCATTAATAATGTCTTTGTAATATTCAGATACTTGTATGGCTGCCACTGATATAACCTGTGAAAACAACTGAATGATGTAAGGTGAAATTGATCTAAATTCTGGAGGTAATGAGAGTCAAAGACAGGATAATACATGTATGACCTTCCCACAGTGACAACCTGGCATTATGAGTCCTGGAGGCTGGTGATACCTGGAGAGCTGTTTTCTACCCTCTGAAAACCCTGACTGAGGTATGATCGGAAAGACAGCTATAGCTCGGCATCATGACTGTACGTTGGGCGCCTGATAAGGTGGTACAGTACTACCATGTTGCAGACCATAAAAATTATACATAGAAATTGAATAAATTCTAAGATATGTAAAAAAAATGCAACCAGTAAAACCTGTGGTGTGAGAAAACAATAAAGTAGTCATCAAAAAGGCAACTTACCTTTAACTGTCTGAATGGCGTGAGGGTTCGAATTTCTTCTGTTGGTACATCCACGTACGCTCCAGGCAATACAAACATTAGAAGGAAGCCAAAACCGTTCACGTGAACATCTTCTCTGAAAATTAAGACTTTTATAAATACAAATACCTGTACTGCAGGATTAAAGCTCTTTGATTATTGTTAAGACATAAGGTTCCAGCAAGGACTAAAAACTGATATTACAGTATAAGATACAGTAGGGTATATAGTACAGTACTGTAATAATTCTTAAGGCTTCAGGCTGTATGGGAGGTAGATATACGAAAAAGGATTGAAGTAAATTATGCCTTGACCTGAGGAGGAATTTTCAAGAGCCACAGTCTTCTAATACAGTAGAAACTTAATAACACAACATATAAATACAATAACAGGAAGGTTCTAGACACTGGCTAACTTTCAAGTAAATTAAACATAGGTAACACAATTTGCTATAATTACAACTCATACAGAGAATGTTCCATGCAATACTTCCTCTACATAATCAAATCACTTCACAAAACTGCACAATCAACCCAACATACATTCCTCTCACCCATATATTCCCCCAATCAAGCTCCTCCTGTCATCCAAGGCCTCTCAATGCCTTCACTGTATTGGTTAGCATCCTTTATCAGTGCACTATTTCCTGTACAGTATGTGAACTTTGCCATCACTCTGCCAGTTTTCATCAGACCAATCATTCTCTATGTTTCCTTCATTCTTTTATCTTTTACTTCTTATTCCCTCAACACACCAAACTCTGGTCCTCCTGTCTGGAAAAACTCCCTTACCATTTTTACTAAGCTTAGAGAGGGAAAAAAATTTGTTTCTGTGAGAATTAGACCTATCCAAATTGATTTTCTGCTGTGTTATACAAGTTCCCCCCCCCCTCCCAATTATCTAGCAACCTCTTTCATGCTCATTATGTCTGCTTACATTTTTACCTGCTGAATTCTCTTCCATCCCAATCTAAAACACTGACCAATGATTGATGTTTCCTGATCTTTCCCACTTCTTTATATTCATACAATATAAACCAGCGACCTCTCAAGCAGTCACCACAGATCTTCCTTCATCCTTGTTTATTGTTTGTAGTAGAAAAAACAAACATATAAACTCAAGCAGCATCATTAGAGTTACCCAAAAGTAAACACAGAACAGAACATTAGATCTGAGCTTAAGTACCCCTCCTATACCCTTTTTTTGTACAGTAAATACAAACTTACTTCACGGCTGCAATGGCATGCCCAGCCTCGTGGATGACAGATGCAATTAGCAGTGTGAAAAAGTAGTATGGTAACTCCTTTACAGGTAAATTAATACCTGGTACCTGCAAGAGAAAATGAAGAACACTTCCAAGATACGTAATGAGAAATTAACAGAGAAAGAATTTAACGAGGAAAATAACATGACCGCAGGAAATAGTTTAGAGAAATAGAGAGCAATAAATATTTCAGATGTAGGTGAATAATTTCCCAAGAAAATGCAACACTGATATTCTGAGGGATACACAAGAAACCTGATGTGGCTTTATGTGACATATAGTATACACGTACTTTAAGTAAAACTGACAATCAAAACAAAAATAGTCTTAAAATTAATAACACAGTAATGCAGTAAGTGGAGTAGAGAAATTAAATTAGCATACAGTAATTTCCATCATATTGTACAACGTGGTAAAAATTAAAATCCTGTTCCTCTTTACTATATAGCATAAAGTACACACAATCATCACATATCTTCAGTAGTGTACTCATAATCATCAGGTGAATCATCTTACCATGGGCTGCAGCGCTTGTACTGTCTGCTCTTGTAATGGTCGTAAATGGTTTACAAGCTCACTTATCAAAAGGCATACTGCAGGAATCAAGAGAATACCAACCACTACCACACCAAGTCTGTAAAGAAAGTTTCTCATAATTTGTCTTATATGTTAAAATGGATTCTATTAGAGTACTATACAGTATTAGTTGAATTACTGTACAAACTTCTACTAATCATGCTTCTCTCTCTCTTCAACATTAGCTACTGTATTAACTCACGTGAACCATACTTTGAAGAACTTGGGCCTCCACAGCGCCCACTTTGTTACTGATCGGTTAAAAACAGTGGTAAACCAGTGTAGCTGGAGTGGCTTCACCGTTAACCCAACGTTCTCCAAGAAGCACAAATATGGGACATTCATGCATGACTGAAAGAGATACCAAGTATAAATAATAATATTCGTAAAGTTCATGGTACAGTATTATCAAGCAGTTCACAAATAATCAACATTTAAGAGTTTATACAAAGAAAAATGCACGTAAAATTATGAAATATTTATAAAAGTAACTAAAAAGATTCAAAATTCCAACATCATCTTCCTGAATGTACTTTAAGGTATTGGTTATTTGTCCAGTGGCGGGCCTCTACTTAGACCCGCTACTTATCCAGTATATTTATTCTGACTGGGGCTGAAGACTCCTGGATCACAGAATTCAGTCACTTACAAACCAAACCAAATCAAATCAAATCAAACCTAACCTAACCTAATCCATGCCAAGCACGTTTGTGAGTGAATAATGAAATCTTGATCATCCTTGACCAATCAGAACCAATGCTGGACAAATAGAAAAGTAAGTAAATATATGTCTGTTGACCGAACAAATAGCCTCTTCGTTACCATAAATATTACATTAACTCACACAATATTCGAGTTAACTTTACATTTCTCAGGATAAAACCGACAGAATAACCAAAGTAGGTAATTAAATTCCTAGAGCAGATACAAGGTATTCTTAAGGTATGGATCAAAACTTTTTCTCAATATAAAAATTTTGAAATACTGTATCTAGTTCAGTTGCACAAGATCAGTAATGTGATAACCAGATGGATTACAAAAATAAATAAATAAAAAAATTCCTGAAGAAAACAATTAATATGGTAAACCTAAAACACCACAATATAAAAAATAAAACATGACTCATTTTACATCGCCAAAGAAAGAGTTGCAGTCTTGTTAACATTGAGAGCAAGAGATAGTAAGGTGCTGCACAATATAACAGTAAATGATTCAAACCAACTGGTGCTGGCTAAACCAAATTCATGACCGTTAGATTAAGTTGGGGCATATTGTCTGCTGCCATATTATTCGGTAATATATGTACTCGACGGTTGAGTCCTTAGCATCAGTTTTAGGGAATTTCTCCAGGGAACAATAAAGCTTTCTTAGCTCGTGAAACTGACACGAAATGAACGAGGAATATGTTTTGTGCTAAATCATTCTTACGATGTTATATGTTTTCCATGTGTGGAGGAGCTGCCTCTACGATGTTTAGTTTCTCTGAGTCACCCAGACAGTGCGAGGGCATTTCACTATAAAACATAAATGCTTTCTAACCTAATGATATTGAAAAAAAAAATACACGATCAATACATTTTGTGTGACATAAGTTTTATGATGCCTTTTGGCTTCATTAACAGATACAAGCAGTGCTGTAACCTGACACCTGATGCATTGTCTTCTCGATGATCACGTGTGCATAAGGTACATGAAACAAACAAAATTCTGTTCCTATAAATTTGTTTTGGTCTTGTACTTCACGAATGTTAGGAATCGCCAAGTGTCGTAGAGGGAGCATCGATAATTTAACGTTAATAAAATAAATCAAACAAAAATACCTTACCAAACTTTACACATGAAACCTAACCTAACCTTACCAAAAACACTACAGTTATATTGTATTTAATATAAACAAAACTTTCTATGAAAAGAACCAACGCCAAGATATTTGATGAACACAGCAGCTGGATTTTGAAGAGCTATGTAAATGAAAGATGTAAAAAAACTTAAGAGTCATTTACATAAAACATATTGCTAGTGAATTGTTTGACAGTTCACGAAGAAAGAAACATTTATGTTAAGGAGCACAAGTTGTTTGGAGTACTACTAGATAAAATACAAGAAAACATTATATTAAGTTAGGTTAGGGTATTTGAGTGAGTTAAATAGGTTCAGTTTGATTCATTTTTATCGTTTGTATAAAAAAATGCTATGAGACAGACAGACAGACAGCCCACCTCAGAAATATATGGCAACTGCTAACACAAGTACAGTACCACATACTGCTACATTCTATCATTTATCAATCATAAAATTAACCAAATTTACTAAACTAACTTCAGCTAACCTAACAATTATATTGTATTTTAATCTTACAAAATAAAAAACAACCATTCCTACAGTCTAAACATAAGAACATAAGAAAATAAGGAGTCTGCAATAGGCAGGTTGGCCTGTGCATGGCAGCTCCTGTCGAGAGTTACTACCACTCTCTATCATCCATGAATCTATCCAGCCTCCTTTTGAAACTTTCCAGTTCCCGCACTTACTACAAAGTTGCTAAGCTTGTTCCACTCGTCCACCACCCTATTTGTGAACCAGTTTCTTCCTATCTCCCTCCTAAACCTAAACTTATCCAACTTAAATCCGTTGCTCTGAGTCCTATCCTGCTCGGATATTATAAGAACTTTATCTATATCCCCTTTATTGATTCCTTTCACCCACTTAAATACTTCTATCATATCTCCCCGCACTCTTCGTCTTTCTAGGGAATGCAAGTTAAGTTTCTTTAACCTATCCTGATATGGAAGGTTTCTAAGTCCCGGAATCATTTTTGTCATTCTTCGCTGCACCGACTCTAGTGAATTTATATCCATTCTATAATAAGGGCACCAGAACTGAACCGCATAATCGAGGTGCGGCCTAACTAGCGCAAGATATAGTTGCAATAAGACCTCTGCACTCTTGTTACTTACACTTCTAGATATAAAACCCAATACTCTGTTTGCATTATTTCGAACATTAACACACTGTTTTCTAGGCCATAGGTCCGGGCTTACAAGTACCCCTAAGTCTCTTTCACAAGTCGACTTCTCTAGGTTGATGTTGTTAAGGCTGTATACATTATCAGTATTTGTTCTTCCAATATTAAGTACGCTGCACTTGCTGGTGTTGAATTTCAGTTGCCATTTTTTAGACCACCCCTGCAGATTTCAAACCTAAGTGATATTACGCAAAACATGTTCCTTGGCCACTTTTTGTCAGTTTCACGAGGTAAGAAAACTTTAATATTCTATTGAGATATTTCCTAAAGTCGGTGCTAAGGGCGAGCCACGTTAGTCAAGTATTACCACAGTAGCTGATTAGACTACAATCCTTACACCTATGGGGTTTCATGTGTCTTAAAAGTTCACTCTCGTTTTATTTAATTTTTCCTCTTTTGCATTCAGTGTAGTAGTTATGCAAACATATCACAGATTTCAATTAAAAGAGGAAATATTAGTAGACAAGTGTGTGTTACCTTCAAGAACTGGTCTGTGAAGTAAAATGATGCATGGATAAGGATAATCACAAACAAGAAGGTCCCTATATCCATTCTTGATCAGCACATTTAGTCAGCAGAAGTGTCGAAGAACAAATACATTCGAATTAAGAAGATAAATTAAAAGGAACGAGAGAAATTGGGGTAAAAATCCTACAAGTGTACAAGACAGACATGTAAACACTGAGTCCCAATCCCTGAGTCAATACTTCCACTTGTCTGATACTTCGGTTTTGGGCTTCTATTAACTTTTAGTTTAATTTTGGTTTATTATTTCACTATTTTTTAACTTCCTAAATGTTTTGGTAGTTGGTTTGTTTTTAGTTACGGCCTTCATTATCCTGTATTGGTATAGGAGGCAGCCGGAAGCACAATGGGAGTTGGATTCTGGAGTGTAATGGCCAAAATATTGATAATTATATGTTTAGTTTAATTTATCGTCTAATTTCATCATTGATAAGGTCGTTAGCCACGTGGGCGGTCGTTCACGTCTCTGTTAGGCAGAAAGAATGCCAACAATCCTGTTAACTGCATAAGGTGAAACTCGACACTTGATGAAGGGGAAGTTCCTGATGTAATGAAGATATATATAATAACACCAATACATGAAGCAGAGAAGATGAAACTAAATATAAACCTGCACTAAATAGTCATAAATCGGTGAAGTTTACCCTTATGCTTTTGTTAGAGAAAAAAAAAAGGCTTGTAGATGAAACTAGCCGGGAATATTAAGAAAGAGCCCAAGTCCTTTTATGTGTGTGCCAAGAGTAAAATGAAAACCAAGGATACTGTTGACTCTCTGAAGGGCGAAAACAACGTGGCCGTAGAGGATGACAGACAGGCAGACAGATGAAGCCCTAAATAACTACTTAACACCAGTATTCACACAAGAGACAAAGGAAATAATACGCCAGTACCTCAAAAGAATGTATACCTCAGGGAACATGAATTACGAGAGATAGCAACTACAGAAGATATTATCAAAAGGAAAATTGCTATCTTGGAAGAATTCAAAGCCCCAGGAGTGGACGGTGTACATTTAGGGACTGTCAGTTCATTGAAAATGTCCAAAGGAGGGCTACCAGACTGGTGCCTGCACTACGGCACGTCAGCTACCCTGAGAGATTGGAGAGCCTGAACTTGCCTAGCTTATAATACAGACGGGCAAGGGGGACCTAATTGTGGTGTATAAGCATCTCAGGGGGCACTACTCAGTCGAGCGTCCTTACCTGGAGCTGGCGGACGCTCGCCCCACAAGGGGTCACAGCTCAAGGTTGAAGAAGCCGCAAGTCCAGAAAACTGTGAGGGGTAACTTTTTCGGAGAGAGAGTTGTGAACTCTTGGAACAATCTACCAGAAAGTGGTGACGGCACCGAGTGTGAGCTCATTCAAGGCCAGACTTCTTTTCTTTTATCCTCTTCACCAAATGATCGGCACGTTAGCCGCTTGAGCGATCGATCACGTCTCTGTTACACACTGTTGGCAAGTACTGGGCATGCACCGGCTCCTGAATGTACCTGAACCCGCTCCAGTGTTGGTCAAATCTGGTCTTGAAAGCGCGCACACTTGGTGCCGACACAACACTTTCTGGCAGATTGTTCCGAGAGTTCACAACTTTCACTCCGAAAAAGTTTGCCCTCACAGTTTTCTGGACTTGCGGCTTCTTCAATCTTGAGCTGTGACCCAGTGTGGGGCGAGCGTCCGCCAGCTCCAGGTAAGGACACTCGACTGAGTAGTGCCCTTTGAGATGCTTCTACACCTCAATTAGGTCGCCCCTTGCCCGTCTGTAGTATAAGCTAGGCAAGTTCAGGCTCTCCAATCTCTCAGGGTAGCTGAGGTGCCGTAGTGCAGGCACCAGTCTGGTGGCCCTCCTTTGAACATTTTCAACCAACTGACAGTCCCTAGCATATCTCGGGGACCAGACGGGGTGACAGTACTCCAGACGGGGAAGCACTTCACTCTTGATCATTGTTACGAGGGACGGACCGTGTAGATATCTGAACGACCTTCTTATAAGACCCAATAATTTATTTGCCTGATTTACCTTCTTCTCGCAATGGCGCGAGAACTTCAGCTCATTGTCAACATACACACCTCGGTCCTTCTCACATTCAGTCTCAAATAGAGCAGTTTTTTCATCCCGTTGGGACATATGATACGCCTCCTTACTGAATCTCAGCAGCCACTTACTTCTTTGACCTTGGAGCCCACAGAGATCCTTCTGGAGCTCTTCACAGTCCGCTTGGTTCTTGGTTCCCGAAATAACTTGGCGTTTTTGGCAAATATTTGTATGGAGGAGTGTACAACGTCAGGCATGTCAATTATGAAACAAACAAACAACAGCGGGCTCAATACACTGCCCTGTGGTACCCCGATTGTAACAGGTACAGATGATGATTTCGTGCCATTAATCACCACACATTGCTTGCAGTCATGTAGAAAGTCTTCTATCTACACTCGGACATTTCCCCAAAGGGATTCCCCTGGGTCGTACCAAAGGTAAGTAGGAGTATCAAATGTCCCATCGGGACGAAGAAACGTTATTATCTGAAATTCAAATGTGAAAAGGACCTGGGTGTGTATGTTGACAAAAAACTGAAGTTCTCGGACCATTGTGAAAAGGTAGTTAACTCAAGCAATAAGTTGTGTAAGGGTGTCCATACGTTCTTCAAAACTGAAATACTTCCCCGTTTGGAGTACTGCTATACCTTCTGGTCCCTGAGATATGCTAGAGACTGCCAGTTGATTGAAAATGTCCAGACTGGCCCTCGAACTACGGCACCTCAGTTACCCAAGGTGATTAGAACGCCTGCAGTTCTTATACTGAAGGGTTGACTTAATATAAGTGTATAAACACCTCAGAGGACACTACTCAGTCGAATGTTCAAACATGGAATTTGCGAATGCCCGCCCCACTAGGGGTCACAGCTGAAGAAGCTACAAGTTCAGAAAATTGCCAGGACAAACTTTCGTGGAGTGGGAGTTGTGCCATAGAGAATGTTGTGACGGCACCGAGCGTCAGCTCATTCAAGACCAGACTTGATCAACACTGGCGCAGGTACAGAAACATACTGAAGTCAGTGCATGCCCAGTTCTTGCCAACAGTGCGTAACAGAGACGTGACCGACCGGCCAAGCGGCTAACGAGCCGCTTTATCATTGACAAAGAGAATAAAGTAAAATCCCTTAATTTCTTGCATACTCTTCATGTGTTATATTATCTTCACTCTTGTAGCCATAGAAAGCGACAGGAAATACTTAAGATAACAGGTAACATAGTTCATACATAAATGTGTTTATTCTCAGCTTGCATATAAAGTGAATCTTAACACCACATTGATTCACAGCGCTTCATCTCGGTACACTGTACATACTAAGTTCAGACGCCAGGCTCGTTCATGTCACCCTCCCTGTACAGTACAGAACACTCACTTTTCCACGATCTTGTATCATAATTCTGATTCTTGTGGACGTGGAAACATAATATCTGTATACACCCACACATACAGGGCCCAACTGTGTCACGCCGATAACACCTCCTCACAGACAAAGACTGAAAAGTGCGTAAAATCAATTAAATTCAACTGTGTCGCTATTTTCCATTTCCGAATGGTATAAATGGGGTTCAAAATGCTCAGAATAGGGATGTCTAAATGTTTCAGAAGTTTATAACTTTTGGGCGCGCTATGTCCTAAAGCAGTTTTTTTTTAGTTTAACAAATTGATTGACAAAGCTTGGAGTACAGTTTGCCTATTCTGAGTAATTCAGTCAGGTCTTGACACTGAGGGTGGTATCACTTCTCACTGCCACGCAGGACAGAGGTTCATACACAAAGAAATACATCATATTCATTAACAGTATTTACAGGTCAGATTCATGTGGGTGATGTCACTGTTCACTGCCACGCAGGACTGAGGTTCATACACAAAGAAATACATCATATTCATTAACAGTATATATAGGTCAGAGTCATGTGGGTGATGTCACTGTTCACTGCCACGCAGGACAGAGGTTCATACACAAAGAAATACATCACATTCATTAACAGTATATATAGGTCAGAGTCATGTGGGTGACGTCACTGTTCACTGACATGCAGGACGAAGCAAAATGATATCCCAGGATAGTTGCCCTAACAACAAGATAAGTTATCGTAAGTTTGTCAGGATGTGGACAGTTTACAATTATTTATCTTTGAGTCTGTGATGCACGACATTCGTATTAGATTTTTTTTTTTAACAAGAATGCCACATTTTCCTACTTAACCACTTAGAAATTATAAAATACGTATTATCGCCACTTCAAAAGTAGGAACCAAAGCATAAGTGGAAGTGTCGTTTAATGTAGCCCATTCTTAATGTTGACTTAATATTAATTAATTACAGTATTGAAAGGTACAGGCCCCTTCACTAGTGTGTTTACAGGGGCCCCTTCACTAGTGTGTTTACAGGGGCCCCTTCACTAGTGTGTTTACAGGGGCCCCTCAAATTTTGTGCAGTGTGGCAGTTCTGTTTGTTTACATTCGACAGAAGGAAACTCGCAATAGTAAACATTATGGAATCAGATTAAAACAATATTAAAACAAATATCTCAAAATAATGATTTGTGGAATGTTTATATGACGAGCCCCTGTAAGGGCACTAGTGAAGGGGACTGTACCTAAAGATTAACCACCCTAACCCTAACCTGATATAACCTCATCTCAAAAAATGTGAGGTTAGGTTAAGTTAGGGTGGTTAATCTTTAGGTGAAATAAGCTGGGAGGGGGGGGGGGGATCTCCAGGTGATTTCTCGAGTTAAGTGAAAATATTAAAGTACAGTAGATAATATTTGCTAATTCATACCTACAATTCTGAACAGCGTCTGTACTCTGCAGCTCGGAAACAATAGTTATGACGTGCACTGAAAGCTTATCCATACAAGTGAAGTAGACTGAGGGTGTGGGTACATATCGTTAGCCGCTTGGGCGATAGGTCACGTCTCTTACGCACTGTTGGCAAGTACTGGGCATGCACCGGAGACGAGGGACGGGAGAAAGATGCGGGGTAAGGAGGCAAAGAGAAGAAAAATGAGGTGAAGAAGAGAAAAAATGAAACGAGAAGTAAACTTAAAACCAAAAAAAGATACAGTAATCAGATAGGTACTACAGAGTATAGCCTACAGCGGTAATTAAAAAAGTCCATCAGCCCCATCCAACAAAAATATCTTATTAATATATTAAACAAATAGCCCAATTCTTATAATTTCCTGCGTAGAGGATTTTCCCCAGGGACCACCGAGTCTCTCTCTCTCTCACACACACACACACACACACACACTAACGTCTCCACGGTAATAATAAAAATAATAAGCAACTGTTTATTGAAAGAACAATAACTCATGATTTATTTAAAGTACATTAGTTCAATGTTTACAAGTATTATCATTATAGTACAGTATTTCAACAAGATGTTTTTTATTGATTTCATTATTCTTTGTTTTCACTATTTTGTACTTAGTTTAATCCTATTATTATTTATTTACTACAGGAATTATCATCATCTACCCGCCTTCCCTTCCCGAGTCCCGACGCATCTAGGATTTTACACTTAGTTGTTTTAGTAG